CTGGTTCTAGAGCCTGTCCTCTCCATAGCAGGAACAATAATTTCAACATTTATTAAATTCTAACTATTTCTAAGGCTCCATGCTTAATTGTTTGCATTCAGGTAGAGGCTTGTAATCATCTTTTAGTGATATTTTAGAAAGAATTGTACCACTGGGTAGAACTTGCCTTAGGGTACCTTGAATCCCAAGGTTCTGATATTCCATGGATGGATGGAAGGAAATAGGGAACAAACCAGCAATAAGATGCATGTCCTCAGGCATTTAAGACAATCAGAATTCATGAATGATAAGTATTATAGGAATTCAGTTAACAATAGTTGTCAGAACATGGTAAGAAATTATATGTAACCTAAAAGGACTAACCAAAAGTGACTTTTGAGATTGTGAATGGAGGCCTTAGAAAAATGAAGGAATTTGAAGTCTCATGGGACCATGATGTCACTTTTTAACTGTGTTGATTCAAGTATTGACAGTATTTATTGTATTAGTGTAAGTATTTGGGAGTCAAATACATGATGGTAGTTGTTGAAAACCAAATGAACAATAGCAATAACAAATGCATATGAGAGAATAGAGCAGGGCGGCCCAGACTTAAACTGAAGGTGGCCATGATTGATGGGGAAGTAAACCCAAATGTAAAAAGAGTAAAATGATGGAGGGTGTGTTCAGCAATACCTCCTATAAGAGAGAGAATTTCCTTTTGATGAAATCTCAGATGAGACCACTGAACTTGACAAGGGGAACATTGCTCTTAGAACATAGTTTCTGGGCAATAATTTGAAAGTTTTTTAAAAAAGAGATGAGTAAGAAGAAGATAGAAAAGAAAGGAAAAAATACCCATGAAACTAGGCTACCATTATAGAAGTTTGGCTGTGAAGGAAGAGGAATTGGGAAAGGGAAATGAAGCTTAGTGAAAAAATGTAGGTTAAAAAAGAATTGTACATGTTTTAAGGTAATGAAAGAGGCTGATGTCTAGTCCTTTAGAACATCTTAAATAAGAAATTAAGTCTTTATTATTATACCAATAATAGGTCTAGTTTGACATAGAAATTAGATGTGGTCCTATACATGTACTACAGGAGAGTAAGTCAGTTATACATTGATCATATCTAAATACTTCACTAGAGTAAAACTAAATCCTTACAGGGGCCTGAAGGCCCCTCATGACCCACCACCTTTCAGGCACAGCTGTCATCTGTTTTCTCCTACTCTTTTTCTTAATTAGTCCCTTTGGTAGAACTGCATAGCTCTTGCTAATCCTCAAACATGCCAGGGTTGTTCCCTGTTTTAGAGCTTTGGCATTTGCTGTTGCCTCTGGCCTGAACACACTTCCCCTAGATACCACCATGGGTAGTCAGTCCATCACCTCATTCAGGTCTTGACTCAAATGTACCTTTTCAGTGAGGTCTTCTCTGGTTTTCCTATTTAAAGCCCAAAATACCTCACTTTTATCTATCCTTTACTGTCTCTAGTTTCATCTTTTCCTATTGCTTTTTCCTGTTTTATTTTTTTATAATGCTTATACCTACACCTAACAAATAATACATTTTACTTATTCACTTTGCTTTTGTTTTCTCTTACTAGAATTTTCAACTCCACAACTTCAAGGATTTTCTTAGCACTATAACAATGTCTGGAACTTACTAAATGTTTGTTGCATGAATGAATGAGTGTAATATTCTTTGTGGAAACAGATACAAGAACAAATATCATCAAAACATTATTATTAATAAGCATGTAGGATGCTATTCATAGAATTAGGCTTCATGTATTCTTTTACTCAGGAGTTCACAAACTTTTTCTGCATCAGATAGTAGTTTTGTGGGCCATATTGCCTCACTGTAGCTGTTCAGCCCTGTTATTGTAATGCAAAGTAGCCACAGATGATTCAGAAATAAATGTATGTGCTTATGTTCCAATAAGACCTTATTTATAGACACTGAAATTTAAATTTTTACATAATTTTCAAATGTTATGAAACATTCTTCTTTTGATTTTCCCAACCATTTATTTTATTTATTTAATTATTTTTAGAGAGAGAAGGGAAAAAGAAAGAAAACAAGAGAAACATTGATGTGTAAGAGATACATTGATTGTTTGCCTCTTGCAGCGCCTTCAACAGGGGACCTGTCCTATAATCCAGGCATGTGCCCTGACTGGGAATTGAACCAGTGACCTTTTGGTTCCTGGGTTGGCACTCAATTCACTGTATCACATCAGCCAGGGTCCTGAACCATTCACATTCCAAAATGTGAAATTATTCTCAGCCCAACAGGCAGTGGCCAGAGTAGACCCTTAAGATGTAGTTTGTCAACCTCTGCCTGTACTGGTTTTTTAAGCATAACATAGTTGAAATTTATTTTTCCATATAGGGAGCAGCAATGTAGATTAAATTCTAGTAACAGATAATTCAGCAGTACATACTTTTGTTTGGCTCCATTTTTTGTAGTATTTCATTTTTGTTTTCCCAGGAACCTTATGGTTTCATGATGTATTTACAATGGTGATATTTCAGTGAGTTTTCGTTCTCTGAGCAGATGCCACATAATAGTGTTGGAGAGGTATTGATAGTGTAATAGGCCAGGAGCAAAACTGGGCAAAGCCTACCCACATTTAAAAGTTTGCCATTATTTACAAGGTGAATAATTTTCATAGGGAGGAAATCAAGCATTGTCAGCCAGGCTTAGCATCCAGAGGACCAGAGTCCCTGTGAATGAGAATTGTGGTGCAGTCTTTAACATTATCCAGAACAGATTTCTTGAGTAAATTGCAAATGCTTTTAATAATACAGCTCAGGGTCAATTTTAGCTACGCTACATTGGCTGTTTTTACTCCCTTACTTAAAAAAATCAGAAAATAACCTATTCTATTACCAAATCAAGCTGTGGTTTAAATAATGCATCATATTTTCCTTAGTAAGTACCAAGAGAAGGAAATGTTTCTTATTTGCAAAAGTTTTTAATAAAAGGTTTTTCACATACTTGATTTTATTGGATTCTTACACAACTATTTAAAATCTGAGAACATTAATAGTCACTGAGGTTAAAAACCTTGTCCAAGATCTCAGCATCAGGATTCCCATAGGCCTGACCATATGAGGTGCAGACTCCTTGCTGGAAACTTGAGCCAGTCTTTGGTTTGAGTGCTGTGCCCTTCGCTCACTACGTCTTCATCTCTAGCTCTGCCTTCTCATGAAGTTCCTCAAAGCTCTGACTGCTCCCGGCTCCGCTGCACTTACTGTACACAGCTCTGGGGCGAGGAGGCTGTGGTCAGTTATATCACTGCCACTGCAGCTACTTACCAGCTCTGTTTCCTCTCAGCCATTTTAGCTACTGCATAATTTTTCTGGGCATATTCTGTCTTAGTTCCCTAATGTCTGGTTCTCCTTCCTTTCTCAATAACTGTGACTTCTAAAGACTACCTTGACAACCAATAGCTAATTAAAAGTCTTGGATATGATTGGCAAAGACAGGAAGAAGTAAAACATGATGCCAGCGCTTCAAATCTGGGTGGCTGGGAGCATCAGGGCATAGTTGTGCCCACAGTGGGCTGAGGAAGCTGTGATAGGAGCTGGGCCTCCCTCACTCCAAGCAGGTTATTTATTTATTTACTTACTTACTTATTTTTAATTATTATTTTTCAATCACTTTCAATATTATTTTGTATTGATTTCAGGTGAACAGCCTAGTGGTTAGACATAGTGTTCTCCTCAATATTTCCAGTACTCAAATGGCACCATATATAGTTACTACAACATTACTGACTATATTCCCTGTGCTGCCTGCACCTTACATATTTGTGACTATTCTGTAACTACCAATTTGTACTTCTTAATTCCTTCGCCTCTTTCTCCCCAGTCTTCCAATACCCCTCTCAAGAGCTACTTTTGAGGAGAAAGATTTAGAGTTTAAATGTGTTACCTTTGAGGTAATGGTGGAAGTGTTGTAAGTTTAGTCTTCTATGCTCCAAGAAGTAAAATGTAGAAATATTTTGAACCAAATATCTGGGGGTGCAGCCACATGGTAAAGTTTATGGTTAGCCTCAAAGTCATCATGTTCCTCTTCATTGCGAATGGAGACTTTCCATATCTTTTGAATGATATTTAGAAAGATTTTCATAGATATTACAGTTTGGGATGGTTGTATATATTATGAATCAATGGGTGGCGTATATAAAGATTCTTCAACATACCATGGGGAAAGTGTTCTAGAAAACAATTCGATAACAATGGAATTGTTTTCCATTCTTCATTTTGGGTCTATATGGTACCTTAGATATTTTAAATGTCATTTTAGTTATATTTTTTGCTTTTTAAAATTTGGTTAAAAAAAGCTACCTACTACTTATATCGTAACAGACTCAAATTAAAAAGCAAAGCTTCTGCGAAGTGTTCCCCATTCCTTTTTGTTTCTTTATCACAGTCTCAACCTCCTGAACGTAACCCAGAAATCCAGACCAATTTATGTTTCAATGGAGAAAAGAAAAGGAGAACTTATTATTTTAATGCTTAATTGAGAGAAGACGCATGGTATTTTATGTTTTTAACTGGAGAGGGTAGAGAGCCAGTCCATGCATTATCATGTGTAGGTCTTAATGCTATCCAAGGGCATAATCAAAATAAGAAGGTTAATGAATTTAAACACACAAGTATCAACAGCGCTGCACAAAAAGGTGCTGTTATACTATACCAGTCTGTATGTATATGAAAAAAAATCCAGAGTTGTATTTTGCCTCTGAATAAAAGTCATGCTGACTGGCTGTGGCAGACAATGCTGGATCACCCGCCTAGTATTCTGTCTCCAGTCTAGACTCAAAAGGACATGGGAATATGAGGTTAATTTCTCTAACATTTTTGCTCCTAAAGTGTGGCAGTTTACAGTTGTACCTTCAGGCCTGTCAGTTCACAGTGTGGTGTTTTCTCGGCTGGACTGCATTATTTTGTAAGCTTTTTGGATTTATAGGAAGTCATGCATTTTCATGGACTTCTCTCTTTTCTACAGATGTCCAGAGGGCTTCTTGGGAGAATATTGTCAACATCGAGACCCCTGTGAGAAGAGCCGCTGTCAGAATGGTGGGACATGTGTGGCCCAGGCCATGTTGGGGAAAGCCACATGCCAGTGTGCCCTGGGGTTCACAGGCGAAGACTGCCAGTACTCCACCACTCATCCCTGCTATGCACATCCCTCCTGTCAGAATGGAGGCACCTGCCACGTGCTCAGCCAGGATGACTATGAGTGCATCTGCCAAGTTGGTTTTACAGGTATCAGATGGGACTGAGGCCCATACTTTCCAATTGTCAGTATATGTCTTTATTCAGCTTCTTTTGAATCTTGACATCTGGCTCTTAAGAGTCCCCCAACTCTGGTACATACTTAACATTATGGTAAGGAACTGGAATGTTCTAGACAACCATTTTTAGCTTTCTTTTGAGAGTTTTCAGAGAGGAGAAAGAGAAAGAAAAAGGGTCAGATACTCAGAAGTATTTGCTTAAAGTGTACATGTCAGGATTGGGGATCAGAATCACGTCACTGGCACCAGAAAAAAAGCTGTTCATGCTATTAATAACTTGCTTCTTGAAATCTCCTCTCCCTAGACATTCAGGGTATTGGCTTTTCTGACCTTCTGAACTCTGATTGGTCCTTTTGCTTCCGCATTCTCTTGTCCTCATCCATTCTATATTTGTGTTCCTTGGAACTCTGTTTAGAGGCTTCTGTAAAGTCTTATTACAGCTCTCCCAGGGGAAATCTCACTAACTGTCCTTCTGTTCATCAGTTGCTGAGGACTCTGATAGTCATCTTTTTTGCTCTACCCTGACCCTGACATTCAGACTTGTATTTCCATGTATTGCCTATTATCTTTGGAGATTCAACAGGTATGACAAACTCAACACGTTGATATAAATAGTGCTACATTCCAAGTATTTCAGGTTAGAAACTCCCTCTCACTTGTCCTTACCTGCCTTAGACTCAGTCACCCAACCCACCCTTTGAATTACCTCTCACCTTCTGCTTCTCTCCCTTTGCTCTCCTACTCTCCAATTGAGGTCCCTGTCATCTTTCACCTGGACTCCTGCAGTCATTTTCTAACTGATCTCCTTGCTTTTATCATCTCTCCATCTTGTTCACCTACCACATTGCCATAGCTTTAATTATAAATGTAAATCCTTTCATAAACTCACCAGCTTACAATGCCTAATGACTTCCTGTCATCCACAGGGTAAACTGAAAACTTTTCATGGCTTCCATAGCCCTTCACAGTCCGGACCTTATATCTTTTTAGAGCTTCATCTTCCTGCAAGCATCTAGTTCTAGTCATGCCATCATTCATGTCATTTCCTGAAAATGTCATACTTCCTATTGCGTCCATGCTATTGCACACCCCTTTGCTGGGAATGCCCTTTTCTGTTATTGGCGATTGCCCAACTTTCTTTTAAAACTCTGTCTTACTGGCCCTGTCATGATTCCTTTAGGCAGTTAGTCTTTATGTCCTATTATTTTCTGTGCCACAATCTATTATAATTAATTTTTTTACATGTCTCTCATTTGACTAGGTTATGAGTTCTTCAGAGGTAGGTCTGAGCTTTATTCCAAATGAACCATAAGTGTTTATTAAGTTAGATGAGAAAAGGAGTCATTTGTTGTTTTGTCCCCAACTACACCAATAATTTTGTAAATCTAATAAGCAAAAAATGAAAAACATAGTCAGAAAACTAGACTGGATCAGTTAATTTGGAATTCTTGCTCTTGATTTTTCATTATAGGATGTTGATAGGAGTAGATAATAGTTAAGGTGATCCGTTATCTCCATTATGACTGTGATAGCTTTGATGCTGTGAGTGATTGAAGAGATTTGGTAGTTAAGAGAGTAATTCTTTCCTGATTATCAGTTTTGAGTTGTTTTGCTCCACAAGGAAAAGGGAGGCTATGCCCATTTATAATGGTTTAATTCTGAATGGGCAAAGTGACAGTAATGCCTTCTTTATAATTAAAATGATCTCTCTGAAATGATCTCCAAATTAAAACTTCTTCATTTGCCATTATAAGGATTTGTTCTTGGTGTTCTGCAGTTTCTGATCATGTTTGCACATCGGCAACTTTTGTCTGTCACAGGTTAAGTTCACCCTTATGGTTCTGGGTTAGGCTTATACCCTTCCTAGTCAGACTTCATTAAGCTCCACCCTTAGATGAAGAAACAAGCAGGAAGCTAACGCTTATATACTACATAACATTTATGGGAAACCAAGTTTAGGGACCTTTCTATTTCAGCTATAGGCAAACACTCTGATGATACATATGGAGATTAAAGTAACCGTTTTAATTACCTTCCCACTGTAGGTAGGTACCTCTCATGACGAAAGAGTAGGAAGAAAAATACCAGTTTTTAAGAAATTTTTTTTCTGCTTCGCATCCTGAGATATGTGTTGTGCCCAAACATTTATCATACCTTTCCCCTTTGATCCGACATTTAGTGGTGGGCAGAAAGCACGCACTTCCGTGTGCTCACGTGTCAGTCACCCTTTCCTCTCTTTCACAAAATCTGTCATGACCCTCACTTGCTTCCCTGTGGGGTATTTACTTTGACAACCACTTAGAGTATTACAAATTCAGTGGGTTCTCACATATTTACTGTAAAAAAAAAAGCTTAAGCTAATGACAACAAAAAGCCACAAGAATACCAAATTTATTAGTAGTATAGGAGTTTTTTTTTCTCTTTCTACCACTTTCTGCTTTGCTTCCCTGGAGTCATGCCTTGCTATCCAGCAATATAAGAGCCTTCCTGCTTCTTCTGGTGCCTTTCTTCCTAAGAGAGTCCATGAAAGTTACCTTCCTGACCTTTTAGTCTTACGACTGCTTCTAATTTTGTCTAGTTTTCATATACAAGGAGCCAGAGATTCTTCATTTCTTCAAACACATCAAGCAATATTTATATCAAGACCACAATTAGTAAAATGTTTCCAAGAATATGTGTGCATGTGTGTTGTGTTTAAAGGAAAAAGAAGTAGTATTGACTTGTTTATATCTTCCAAGAGATCTATTTAGTAACTATATGTTATGGAAAATATCAATACATTTTATTTATTTAGAGAGCTTAAAGATTCTCCATGCAGTAACCCCCTGATGTCACCTGCTGGTTGAGAGATGCGGGGGGTTGAAGATGGTGCCCACTCCCATTTCTGAAGGCAGTGCTGAGTTCTGTTATCTTTCATCCAGGTAAGCTGTGCCAGTGGACTGATGCCTGCCTATCTCATCCCTGTGCAAATGGAAGTACCTGTACCACCGTGGCCAACCAGTTCTCCTGCAAATGCCTTGCAGGCTTCACAGGGCAGAAATGTGAGACTGATGTCAATGAGTGTGACATTCCAGGACAATGCCAGCATGGTGGTACCTGCCTCAACCTGCCAGGTTCCTTTCAGTGCCAGTGCCCCCAGGGCTTCACAGGCCAGCACTGTGACAGCCCCTATGTGCCCTGTGCTCCCTCCCCCTGTGTCAATGGAGGCACCTGCCGGCAGACTGGTGACTTCACTTTTGAGTGCAACTGCCTTCCAGGTAAGGAGTTCCCCTAGTGTCCTTGGATAGGGAGATGCACCTCCTGCACAGAAGGAAGGTGGTGGGTGGGACTCTATTGCTCCTTTAGGAAGTATCCTTCCTAGGGGAGGGGTGTTGGGGAGGGCTGAGAGAGAAAGGGAAGTGAGAATTTTGGGTGAGGTGGCTTATAGGAGAGGGAGGAGTTTTATGGGTCCAATGTGGTGTATAAACTGAGCAGGGGGTAATTGAACATGTCAGGGTTTATGATGATGAGTGGCTAGGAAATTGTTTAGTGTCCTTTTTGGAGAAACAGTAATTACAGAAACAGCTGTGGGAAAGGGATAGCCAAGTCTATGGAATGGAAAGGAACACAGTTGAGAATTAGACATTGAAAAATAGGTGTGACTAATGAAATGCTTTAAACTGAATTAACAGTAATTAGGTGATCAAGTTTTGTATATGCTTTTACCTCTAAAAAACATTTTTCTATATACTTAAATGTGCCTGCTTACCCTTCTGTGATTTTTCCCTGGGCTTCTGGGCCTCAAAACCCTTTTCACTCTGTCTGACTTTGGGATAACCCTGCCTTGACTTGAAGCTAGAGAATTTTGGAACTGGGGTGGGGGTTGGTGCTCTGTTAATCAGTGAGCACTTTATGATGAGCACTGAGAGATTATATATGATACAATCATACATAATCCTAAGGTAGAAACACAAAGATGAGCAGTGTATGGGAGCGTGGGGCCCAGCATTCTGCAGAGGAGGAGAAAAGAGTGAGCCTGGCCAGTTCACTAAACTCCTTATAAAAATGATGAGGATGCTGAAAACTGAGAATTTCGATTGGGAACAGAACATAAGCAGCTGGAACAAATGAATTACTAAGCAACAAAGATTCTGTTTTTATACAAATATCCTTAGTACAAAAACAAAAGATGGAAAACTTGGGGGGAATAATGTGCTAGTAAGCAGGATTGCCTCCGAAAGGAGTTGTTCTAGCTACTTTTCCAGAATGGGAATCTTTGATTCTGGTGGTGAAGGTATGGCTCCCATACAGTGGGATTGTGTATTTTATCTTTTGGGGGTTAAAGGTCATATATTGGTCCCTGGTATAAAACCAAATGGTACTTTATTCATTTCACTTAGTAAAAATTTATTGACTGCCAGCAATGTTCTAGGCACTTGTGCTATGGGCAACCAAGACACTGTCACACAATAGAAGACTTCATACTATTTAACTGAAGCTTCAAGAGTAAGCTATTATTGTATCACTTTCAGTTTCTCTTTCAATGAAGAATAGATAATACTGTCATTCTAAACACTAAATAAACTTTTATTGGCATAATATTACTATTGTCTATATTATCTGAAAGAAAAACTAAAAAGATATCCTCCTGTTTTCATTTTAAGGATTAAGGAATGAAATAGAAATGTAAACAATTTAATTTTACAAATATTCTAATAGTCTAATATTTTAAAAGTCTACTAGTCTGAGTGGCTAGTAGTAAAGGTTAGTGTGGTTTATTATTGAAGGCTAATTGTGTTTTTAAGCTTCAAGAGAATTGCTTTTAATAGTTGCCTAGAACAAGAGGTTAATTTGGCAGCAAAATGCTGACGGGAAGTTAGAGAAGTCAATAAAGGAAGTTTTTAGCTAGGAGAGAGTGATTACTCACTCCCATAGTCTTTGCATTGTTATCCATTAGCCACGATAAGAACCTTAGGGAATTCTGAGAGTGTGTGCAGGAAAGGATCTGTCAAACCAGAATAGTATCTCCTCCTTGAGAAAGGAAATAACCAGGGATTCCACAGCTGAGAGGCTGCCAAGGCTAGTGGGATGGAGTGAGGAAAACTTGGCTCTCTCTTACACTCTGCTTGTAGTTTACAGCAAGACATTTATTTACTCACTGATGAAGTGTGTGTATGCATGTGTGTGTTGGGAGTGCGGGGTTGGGGGAATTTGATGAAGAGAAAAACTAACATACAATGCCTTTTATGAGTCAGGCACTATGCCAGGTCCTTGTACATTTGTTAGTTCATTTACACAAAACCTTGGGGGCAGGTATTAATTTTTCAAGTTCTCCCAGGTGAAGTAATTCAAGTTTGGAGATGTCAAGTGATTTGCCCAAAGTGGCGCAGCTGACATGTGGTCAGGTAGAGTCTTTCCCCCAGGCAGATTCTTTCCAAAGCTTTTGCATCTTGCTGCATCACCCTACACTACTTCTGTCCCTGAGTGTGCTTTGAATATGTATGAAACTTTGTTAAATGCATTGAGGTGTTTGAGTTAAAAGAAAATTACACTCATGTTATAAGAAAAAAGAGATACTTCTAATTATGATAGACTAGCATTCATTACATATCAGCCTATGTGTGATGCATTGCAGACACTTAAAAATAGGTAGACTTGTTCTTGCCTTTCAGGATCCAATGATCTATAAACTACATGACATTAGCTTAGACAGTGTACAGAAGGAAGTTAAAAAAGAATGCAAAACAGTAGATAATGCTGTGAATAATAGATGCTTACAGAATTTGTAAGATTTTACGCTCATTGTTTTTTCTGTCCTAAGTGGACTTTGGAAAATATTAACTGTATTTCCACATAGGAAATAGTGTCTGGAAGGTGATTTTCTTTTACAAATTTTTTTTGATATATGCAATACCTTTCTCCTTGCCCTTTCCTCTATTGCCCTCCACATTATTCTAAATGACTAAAATGTTACTTAAAATAATAATCAATATTTCACTTATAAAACTGGGGAAACCAAGTCAGCATAGTAGCTTGTAAAGGTCATGTGTAACTCCCAGATGGCTTCTTCCCACTACATTTAAGGTCTTTGCACTTCTAATTGGCCTAGCCTGATCACCCTATTTAAAATTGTAACCATACTCTCAACCTCCTTAACCACTGGCCCTTATCTACTCTTATTTTTTCTGTAAGACTTATCTTCTTACTGTATAACTTTTACTATATAATTTACTTCATGTGTCTGTTGTTTGTTGTCTGACTTTCCCAAACTCTGCTCCCTCTTCTGCAGAGAGAAAGCCAGGATCTTCGTTTTTGTTAGCAGTGTATCCCAAACACCTAAAAACCAGTGCCAGGTACATGACAGGTGCACCAATGTTTATTGACTGACTGAGTTTCATATCATATCACAGTGTTGAGAATGTAACTATGTTTGGTCTTCCCATTTCCTTCCTGGTGTCATGCATCTTAGACCTTGCCTGGCTTTTCCCTTTGTTGTTGTATTCTGTTATACTGGGTAAGAAGAATTTTGGAGTGCTTTTTAACTCTGAAAGTCAGTGACCCCCACATAAGTTAGTGATTATATTGGAAGGGTTTAGTTATAGTTCTTTTCCTGCAAAGGGCACTATCGTTATAGTGAATTAATTTTAGTATTATTGTAAGGCTCCTGGGGGCAGGGAAAGCGATTAAAACTGCAAAAATGACTCATCTTGTGTAACAAAGAAAGTAGAATTTCTCTATAGTGGGAAGAAAGAACAATATATTCAAGAGGGAACTAATAGACATAAACCAAGGAACTATATTTCATCTTCTCCTTGGGTCAGCAACTTTTAAAAATCCAGACCTTCATGAGCTACCATTAAGTAAATTACTTAGCAGATGCCCTGAGGAGGAGTACTCAGCCAGAATCATTTTAACATAAGAACAAAACAGAAAATAAATCATTGAATTTTTGACTCCCAGTACTTTGAAGTTAGGGCCAACTAGTGGGGAGAGAATGAGTTAGGCCCATTTTGTGTTTGTGGACATTTAAAAAAGTTTTACAGGTAATCAGAAAACGATGGGGTGTTTGAATCTATTGGCTGTGAACTTGTGTTCATAGTTGAATTGAACAGTCCTCAGTGTATTTCCCCTTTTTCTTTTTCTCCCACATCTTTTTATTCCACTGTGATTTTTTAAAAGCTTCATAAAAAGCTGTGTGATCTTGTCTTCTCCAAACAACAAATGCTTATCCTTTGTAAGCCAGCCCTATACTTCACAGGGTGATTGTGTCAGATATCCCTGTATCATTGAAATAATGCTTCAGGCACATTTTGTGGCTTTTGTGTCTGCTCTGTTGTTGCTGAGCTTAAAAGCTGTTAGAAGGAATTCCTCCTCGCATTCTCACACACGGGGCATGTAATGTTCTCCTGGGCATTAGAGTAGTCATATCTTGGCAGGTATCTCTGGAGCAGATGCAGAAATCTGCTTGTACTGCTTTTTAGTGTGCATTACTTTAGCTTCTTTGACCTGGGCCCCAAGTCCAATTTTACTCAATATTCTCGGAGGTGTTTCCTGTTTTCCCATGCATGGTGATTTTGCCCATGCTGTCTCCTCGGCTTTCCATCACCTTCTTCCCCAACCCTCGCCACCTTTTTGTACAGAACTCATTCTTTATGATGCATCTAAGGCATCCACTTCACTGAGATGCTTTCTGTATTCTCCACCCCCTTGGGGGATTAGAGATACTCTGGGGTCTTTTGGCAACCTGTACACCTCCAGCAGATCGTGCATTTGTTCATCTTTCCCAGCAGACACTCTAGTTTTAACTCTCTCCCGCCCTCCCAGTATCCAACTTAGTGCTTGGCTCAAAATTGAGACTCAGTGAATATTTGGCAACTGAATGAATTGAATGTGATAGAGAAGAGAATTCCTGCATTATATAATTTTTTCAGTGTACTGAATTTATTTTTTTTGAATGCCCATATTCATTTCTGTGACGTCTTTGGTAAGAAAGTTAGAAAGAAGGTGGAGAGCATTAGGGAGATCCCAGGGAGGCAGACAGGAGCAGCAGCCTGGGTGGGTTGTGTGGTGGGGGGATACATGGGCTGGTCTTGGGGGTCATTGAGCTCCTTTGGACTCTTTCAGAAGATGGAAGATATGTGCCAAGAAAATCAGCTGGACCCAGATAGGACCAGTTGCTTTTGTGAAAGGCTTCTTTCCAGGGGTTGGGGGGAGAAGGTAGTCTTACAGATTTTTACCTTTTTGCATTCGTCTCCACCATTTCAGGTGCCCCTGTGTTTTTCCTCACTCTTTCATCACTCTACATGGAAGCCTTTCCTGAGGCCTTTCAGCCTTGCCTGGGAGAGTCCTGGTTGTACTTTCTCATCTTCTCCATTTGCTCTACTCTTTGTGCCTCTCCACCTAGCCTTTCCACCCTCACACCTCCCAGGGTCTGAAAACAGAAAGCTACGATGCTCTCTTGAGAGATGCTGTTCTTTGTGTGGGATGACAAGTTCAAAAGACTCTTTTCTGCTCCCCACCCTCACTGTCATTATTTATCAGTTACATGGCCCATAGTTTTATAACAGCACAGTCTTAAAATGTTCCTTCTAAGTTTAATTTCTCTCCTTGTGGCCTTTTAAGGACGTGAATTGGCGTTAAGCAGCAGATTCCTTTTAGTACGGTCATGGGAGCCTCTCTGTAAGTCTGCTACACCCATCCCACACACAGGTCTGGAGACTTGTCTGTTTCCCTTTCCGCTAAAACCTTAAAATATGTTTTAAAGAAGTGATTGTACTGTAACTTACTCATATAAGCCTTACCCACCCCCTTGCATAGACTTTCTTACAAGAATTTGCTGGCTATTTCCAAAAAGAGTCCCGTGTCTCTATTTTTAAGGCATAAATCCTGTCTTAACTTTGGAGAACTGATTTGGCTTGAGTTTTTCTCAGACAGGGAACTTTTGACCTAAGGTCAGTTTTTCAGGTTATTGAAAGAGAACTCTGAGGTCCCCAGAGGATATACTCCTTGAAACTGGGTAAAGTTTCCAGTTCAGTATAGACGCCTACCTACTAGTCATGTAAACTCGGATTGTGACTCTCAGCATGATCATCTGTCTACGTAAAAGGATTAGAGTAGATAGTCTCTATGGGGTGCTTTGATCTCATTGATTAATAGTGTTAGCTAGTATGTATGTAGGAGAGGAATCACTGGGTGATAGGGTAACTAGCCTTTTCAGGAACTACCAGACTATATTCTAAAGGGGCTGCACAGTTTTACATTCCAATCAACAGTGTGTGAGGTTTCCAAGTTTCTCTACATTGTCTTGTCAGCACTTGTTATTATCTGTCTTTTTGATTATCAGCATCCTAGTAGATGTGAAGTAACATCAAATTGTGGTTTTTATTTGTATTTCCTTGATGGTTGACGTCAAGCATCTTTTCATGTGCTTATCATTTGTATATTATCTTTGAAGAAATGTCAATTCAGATCTCTTACCCATTTGTAAGTAGATTGTCTTTTTATTATTGTATTATTTATGTTAAATTTTTATTATTGTTTTAAGAGTTCGTTATATAGCCTAGAAACAAATCTCTTGTCAGTTAGATGATTTGCAAATATTTTTCTCCCATTTTGTAGTCTTCCACATTCTTGATGGTGTCCTTTGAAGGCCAAATATTTTTAATTTTGATGAAGTCCAAACTATACTTTTTTCCCTTTGTTGCTTGTGCTTTTGGTTATATTTAGAAAGCTTTGCCTGGCTCAAGTCACAGAGATTTATTCCCGAGTTTTCTTCCAAGAGTTTTATACTTTTGACTCTTATATTTTGAGTTAATTTTTGTGCATGGTGTGAGGAAAGGGTCCAACTTTATTCTTTTGTACGTTGATATTTAATTGTTCCAGCACCATTTATTGAAGTAAGTGTTTTTTATATCTAACTCATCTAATCTTTACAACAACCTTTTGAGGTAGATCCTATTAATTCCCCCAGAGAGAAAATAAGTATCGTGCCCACATTCATTCAGGTATTGCATGGCAAGGCTGAGAGTTGGATCTAGGCCTTGCTTTTCCCATGAACTAATGCTTTCACCTCTCCTCTTCTTACTTATCTACTTATCGGCTAGGAAGAACGACTTCAAAAACAGTCAGTCAGTCATAAAAAGAGAACATTTTATTTCTTATATGTTGTGGTTATGAAGAAATGCTTCTTATTTCTTAATTTGTCTGTGGTTGATGAATTCAGTTAGTTGTAGCATTGACTCATATAAATTCAAGGTCGCAGTTTCCAATTTGGTTACAAGGGCTTTATCATCTCTCTGACACCCTAGTCAGTAATACGTAGTATTAGTCACCAGAAATATCAAATTAGGGGGAGGATGATCATTACCAGTTCTAGAATATCAACAGACCACCCAGGTTCTAAAAATGGTGGGCCAGGTGCCCTATTTCCTTCTCACACTCTAAAACTGAATCTTTGACTTTTCTAAAGGTTGTTTCCATTAAGAGCACTAGACTAGGGACACTGACCTCAGTTCTTGTTCAAGGACTGCTGCTTGGTAGATCTGTAGATTTGCCTTCACTTTATCATAATATTTTCTGACTTAGCCCATTCATAGGATTAAACAGATATGTGAGTAATATGACAAATATTTTTTTAAAAGTCTGAGTCTATAAAATTTTTCATACTCTTTCTCAAGCTTACTTAGTGATTCATCTGCCTGAATGGCTTGAGTACCAAATACAAGGAGGAACAGAATTCTTCAGTCAAGCTTTCACTTATTCTCATATTCTATGAAGTGATTTCCTTTGGTCTCTGGGAATTATTCTGGCCATTTGATTTATACTCATTTACATGACTGCCACTGTATTCAGAGAAACCAGCCATGTTCCAGTGTAACAGAGCAGATGTAGAGAACACCACAGTGGCTTGTGGTAAGGAATGAATAAAGCAAGGTGTGATTGATGTCTTTCCCCACCCACAGGCTGTCGATGCCCTGAAAGCAGGGACTCTGTCTTTTTTACTCACTGTTATATCCCCAGTGCCTTAAGACTCATTAAGTGTTTTGAGTGTGACAGAGGAACCTAAAGGGACATTTTGAAAGGCCGAGTACATAGTCATACTGTATTTCAAATAGGACAATATTTAGTGAACATTCTCTTGTTTTGAAACTGGTAGTCTTCTATTTTAATAGCTAAGGAATTAGGTAGCAAGGAGAGAAAAAGGGAAAAGCCCAGTATATAAATTACTGTGGGCAGTTAGAGTGAAATTTGATGTGCTAGTTTCATTTTTCATAAAAGGGGAAAATCAAGAGGAAGGAAGCAAAGCTATAAAATGTAGTGAGGAAAGGGAAGAATTTGAAGGGTTGGGAAGTTTAGTTAGTAATAATACGACCCCATTTTCAGATAGTTTTTTATATTTGTATTACATTTACTTGTGATGTGGCACTTACAACAACCTAGAAAGGCAGGCCAGGAAGGTGGAGTCAACCTCATTTTACAGATGAGGAATTTGATTCAGAGCACAGGTGGCAAACACAAGGCCCGCGGGCTGAACCCGGCCTCCACCTTGTTTTATCCGGCCAGCACCTTGTTTCCACCTGGCAGCAGCGCTGAGCTCTTGCTTAACTGTTAAGGAGTAGTTACACTTATACAGTCCTAAAATTACATTTGGCCCTTTGAAGGCAACTGCGAGGCTGATGTGGCCCCTGGTGAAAATGAGTTTGACACCCCTGGTTCAGAGTTAGGAATTTACCATGTGTGAAGCAGTTTATAGGTTGTGAGGTTGGAACTTGATTTATATCATCAGACTTTAACTTCGATATTTTTCTTATGCCCTTCACCCCCACCTAGTTTTCCCAAACAGTAATCCCAAGGGGAAAAATAAATTTAAATCTAATTAGATAATCTTTTATCTGTTCTCATTAATCTAGCATGGAGCTAAGATAAATCTAATACCTTTGTTAAGAACCAGTGAATAGCTGTCCCAAATAGAAATTTGTCTTCACTGGGGTTTTATTTCATGAAACTTGTGAGGTAACTGTGAAAGCATGTCAATGGCATAATGAATAACTTTAACTATCTAGCTATGCTCAAGGCAAGAGAAGGCAGAAGACGAGGATTTTTAATACAGTGAGTCCTGGGTTCACCAGCTGCTAGCTGCTGAACTGAAATAATGAAGTAGGTTTCTGATGATCATGCCCTACAGGAGAAGAGAAGATCATTTCTTCTGTATAGAATTCATCATTTTCACTTGTTCTTCTCTTACCAGGTTTTGAAGGCAGCACCTGCGAGCGGAATATCGATGACTGCCCTAACCACAGGTGTCAGAATGGAGGGGTGTGTGTGGACGGGGTCAATACCTACAACTGTCGCTGTCCCCCTCAGTGGACAGGTATGTATAGTGTGGCTAAAACCAGGATGGGGCATAGATTAGTAACCCAAGGCAGGCTGTAACTGAAGTAGGCACCTTTCACAAGGGTCTCTGTGCTAGATCATTGTGCTAACCCTCAAGGTTTTCCCATGTTCATGTAAAGAAACATGTTCACAGGTATTGCTCTGAACTCAGCCCTGTACTAGGTGCTGTGGCAGATGTGAGAAAAGAGCATTATTGACAGACTCTGAGGTTGTCTGGGAAGCATTGCACATTGTCTGGAATGTAGCAGATGCATAATAAATATTTGAAAGAAAAGAACATGCTTAAATGCAAAGATATAAATGTTCTTACCACACACACATACAAATGGTAGCTATGTGAGATAATGGATGTGCTAACTAATCAATCTTATTATGGTAATTATTTGCAATGTATATGTATATTAAATAATCACATTGTGTACCTTAAACTTACACAATGTTATATGTCAATCATATCTCATTAAAGCTGAAAAAAGGAAACTACAATGTGTCAAGTTTTGGTGTAGTATCAAAGAATAATCATAATTATAAGAAAATTATAATTAGAATACTCCTGTTCTGACTTAAAAAAAATAAAAGTAAGTTATAGAGATTTTAAGAGTTCAGAGCTGTTGCTTTTCATAGACAGAACCCTATCTCATCTTATTGTTATGCCCTATAATTATTCAAAGGGCTGATACTCTTGATAACTTATTTTTATGACACTCATTTATATTTTTATTTTTCCCTTTTTTGTATCCTTTTGTGCATAGGACAAAAACAAAGATTTTTGCCCCTGAAAGTAGAAGGGTAGTCTTGCTTAATTCTACAACCTCTTGGAAGTTTCTGATACTGTCTTAGGCAGATTTTCTACTTCTGTTTGAAAGTTAAGTTGATTTTATGCAGACGTTTGGATCCGATTTCTGTTTATCTAACCGAAAGTGGAGACAGTTAAGAACTAATTAAGTGATTAAGAACTGAGCCTTTTTGAGAGAAATTGATTAATTTAATATGGAAACCCAGTAAGTTATGGTGTAAAGAAGAAAATTCAGTACCAGTGAGGGATGGTGCCTAGCAAAGAAGCCTTGATGTTGGATTGCCGCCAACACTACCTGGTGTTTAGTGCTATAAATTGCTTTTCCTCCTCTGTAGCAGCTAATTATTTAGAGTACTTTTTAGAGCTGTAGACTGTGAACCAAACAGATTAAAAGAGTTTAAAACTTCAATAACATGATTTCCTGAAAGGGCACATATTTCTTCTTTTAATCCCCAAACTGCCCTTTTTTAATACTTTCCCACTGGGTTCCCCTAAAACTGGACTTCCCCTAGAATTTCTTCTTGGTTTCTTGATCCTGGGACTTGACTCCCAACTCTCTCTTCTTTCTGCCATGCTCTCTGTACCTTTTGCCATTTCTGTGGTAGAATTTTCAAAGGCCATTTTTTTCAACTTAAAAATTACTGTGAAGTTAACTATATGACAATAACTGGAAAGATTTGAATTTTTCTTTTTAATGTCTCTCACAGTGGCATTGGGTGGGATGGGATAGTTGTTAGGAACTCGAGCCCATACTCATCTCTCACCCTGTGGCAGAGTGACTCTGTGTAGTACTAAGGCTTCCGATGCCAATCAAGATTAAGTGATATTATGACTTCATTGCCGGTCTTTCTTTGTTACCTCACTCAGTTTTCTGCTTTGATATTAATTAGGAAGGCCCAATCTTGGGGGAAACTTTCCCAGTGAAATGATATTTTACCAAAATATCTTACCACAGGATGTTTAATAAATACCTTTTCTGTGAAGGTCCTTATAAGATGTTTTTTCCCTGTATGTTCTTGTATTTCTAGAAAAGGCAAAAATGATGGGTAAGTTCAGTGTGGCAACGTTTATTTCTTTTGATCTGCTGTCATTTAAAGTGACTCTCAGCCTTTAGTTTCTCACTGCAGTTTTCTTTCCTCTGCTTCTCTCCTGCCAGTTCTTTGGTTTTCAGTAACAACCTTGCTTTTTGCTGTCCTCACCACCAGTAGGATAAAGTCTAAGGCTCTTCCACTTCATATGGGTGAAGGAATCCTTCCTGGCCTCACCCCTGTCTGCTTCTCCAAGCTTTCATACATCCAGCAGTACTTCATATTCCAGCAATAAAAACTGTTTCCAGTTCTCCTGTATCTCCCACGTCCTGTGTCGTCGCTATTAATACCACTCCTTTTCTCTAGAGTTCCCTTCTCCACTCTTCTCCCTCTTGTCCTCACCGTTTTTGCCTGCCTGACTCAGATTAAGTGCTTGCCCCTTTCAGGAAGCCTGCATGACCTTTTTCACATCTCTCCAGGCTGAGCTAAGTGTTCTTTGCTGGGCTTCATCACTCTCCCATACAGTCCTCTGTGATAATACTCGCCACATTATTGTTGGCATTGCTATGTGCTAATATTGAGGTGTGGGATGTACCAGGTTAGAGGGTGGGTCTTTGTTCTCAGTAGCTGAGCTGTTTACCATCGTAGCCCCCACCTCATTACGAGAAGAACAGAAAGATAATTTTGGGGTGTAGGGTTCCTATTTCTATCGGCATTACAGCTATAAATTCAGGTTAGTATTTTCTACCTCATACAAATTAAAGAAATAACTGGGGCTGGGAGGTAACTAATGTTCATTAGCACCCAAATACGGTGCTGATTACAATGTTGATTTTATGTAATCTTTGCAATAACTGTAATAGGGGTAGAGTTTATTAAATACTCTTTTTATAGGTGATGATGAATATCAGAAGGGCTTAACTGTTTACTCAAGGCATATAGTGGCTGGGACAGGTTTGACCCTGGCCTCATTTTACTCCAAGTTTATACTCAATCTGTGGTCTTCTTCCTATACAAATGTTCTCTGTGGGTTATCTTTTTGAAAACTTTTATATTTTTAAGTACTTTGATTCTTTTTAAGTGATTGAAAGTTCAATTTATAGTTTATCATTTTAGGGTATGATGATCTACTCTGGTTTTTTTCCTTTTTAAAAATTTACCTGGTTATTTTGAGATTAGAAGTTAAATTAAGTGAATGCTTTATATTCAGTGTGGTGTGTTTTTATTATACCAAAAGGCTTTATTACATTTTGTTCAAAATTCCCTTTACAGTTTCTGGCTGCAGAGTTGAAGCATGAATTGTTTGCTCTGGCTTTTGACAAAATAAAAAAAGAGGGGTTGGGGTCGGGTGCTAAGAGAGGGAGTGAAGTTGCCAGCTATCTGAAAAAGAATGGATGGGATTCTATAGCTAAAAATACTAAGTATCAGTTGGAAATAAATGAAGATTTGGGAATTTGGTATGTTTTTAGTGAGAAGAGCCTTACTGTGTTGTATGTACACATGCATAGAAGGCTTGGTCTCTCATAGCAAATTTTAGACTTCAGGGTGACCAGAATTTTTCCAAGTCTATTTATGGTTTGATTTGAGGTAAATGAGTCAGCTTTCTTTTTTGGGGGGGAGGGGGAAGGCTTTATTTGCCATCCATGGAACTAATATCTCTTAGTTACTTTATTGGGGTATTAGGTGAATGAATGGTACAGTAAAAAGCTTTTTGAGTTTTTCATTTACTTAGCAAACAATTATCTTGTAAAATATTCTAGATAATGCATTTTGGTATGGTAGCCACTAGCCACATCTTGATACTCAGCACCTGAAATGTGACCGGTCTGAATTGAGATGTGCCATAGTTGTAAAATACCTGATTTTGAAGACATGGTATTAAAAAAAAGTAAAATGTCTCATTAATAATGTTTGGAAATATTGATTAGATGTTAAAATGATGGTTTAGATACACTGAGTTAAATAAAATAAAATATTAAAGTTAATTTTACTAGCTTCTTTTTTCCTTCTTAAAGTGCTACCAGAAAATTTAAAATTACATCTGCGTCTCTTCGATATTTCTACTGGACATACTACTTTAGATGCAGAGATGTTCTGTAGGTATTACCATTGCTGCTGCCATGTAGGTGTCTCCTCTCTGACCCTGGGTGGTAGAGGGTGTATGTGTAGCTCTCTGTAGAGGGGCCTGGAGTTGGCCCCACTAAAGGAAAGCATGGTGCCCATGTTCTGGTGTGGTTTCCACATCAGTGGCGGACAGAACTGTTTTCTAGCCCAACACAGAACGATTTTACCTGACATGGCTACCTAGGTTAGTAATAATTTGGACCTTCAAAAGCTTCCACTGTTCTGGACAAGCTAAAGCCCGGGTAGAAGAAAGAAATGGTATTGGGTTTGGACAATGATTTACTTTTCTTACTGGAATCTTGTTATAGAGATGGTTCCTCTGCAGAATGGAAGTAGTCCTAAGGATCTGATGAAGCCTGAGCACAAATGTTTTTATGATTACCAGGCTTGGCCCTAAGCCAGTTGCCGTCTTGTGAAAGAAGTTCTGCTTTGGCAGATATCCACTTAAGAAAAAAAGTTATGAAAGGCCCCCAAATTAACTAAGGCAGTATAGATTAATGTTTTGTCTACGTAGATTGTTATTTTAATTTTCTTTTTAAAGGTTCATTTCCTTCAGAATTAAAGTTGCCTCTAAACTCAACTCACAAATTCCTCTCTGGCAGCTTTTGGTTTTGGGTTCACTCCTAGGGCAGACGTGATTTATTTTCCTGTGCTTGTTATTAACCCAGAATTGTAATTTCAGCTTGGGCTTGGAATAGTGCTTTGGGACACTAAGCAGAAGTGAACAATGAAAGTTAGGTGGATATAAGTCAAATAAAACTGACCACATTTTCTCTGAGCTCTCTCTCCTTTGTAACACAATGATCCTGAAGAGTGGGTTAAAGTCCCCTTCGTTGTTGGTTACTCCAATTTCAGTAAAATTTTGTGGTATAAATCAGCAAGGCATATATTGCCAGAGGTGCTCCATGAGCTTCCTTGTCTGGAAATGGAGTCTTTTTATGGTGTTATTTTGGTTGTGAACTAAATGCTCCTATTCCAATTTAGCCTCTAGTTGGCGACAAACTGGTCTTTAGGATGAGCTTTTTCTCA